CTTATATTGGGATTTTCAAGGAAGTTAATCTTGTTTTCATCATATCAGCACTGGCAGAGATCTCACAGCTTTGGAAGAGGGGAGGGCAGCCAGTCATCCCGAAAAGATCTTCAGTCTGCACTTTCTCCCTTGCAGCCCATAAAACAGTCACTATTTTTTTTAGAATTGATAAGAGCGCATTTTCTAAGGAATACTTGATCATTCAAGCACCACGAGAGCCTCAGTGTAGGTATCTAGAGAGAAATCTGAAGCATAATGGGAAGGCAACTGTCTGCACTCACTGCAAAGCTGAACTGGTTTTGTGTTAAATGGGGCCCATGCTGYAAATTCACAGACCAGTTTAAATGAGCGTTGCACTGACGAGGAGAGTCATCTCTTCGCCCCAGGCCCCTGGAATAAAAGACTCTGCACCTTCCATGCAAAAGTCATGCTGGTTCTCACATCACTTCTTGCCACAGATTATGGCAAAGGAGACCAAYTTGTAAGATAACTAAATATTCCTGGGTCAGTAACTGATGTTATCTTGAACGCGGCCTCTAGAAAGGACAAGAAGATATGAAGGCTACTAAAAAACACAAGAGCATTTGTGTTGAACTAAGCTATCAAAGCCTGATTCCTACACGAACTTCTCCAGCCACAGAGATCTTTTTTCCTTGATCTGCACTCAACACTATGAGCACTCTTATAGAGAACAATAATATGACAGGAAATATGAGGAATTGGAGGTTTCTGTACATGAATATGGGAAGTGCCAGCTCTACAGTATTTTTCAATTGAACTCTTCATTAAATTTCCATTTAAAAATCAAAAAAACTCAAAAAACCCTGAATGTTTGTAGTGAATAATTCAAGACCAGCCCTCCCTAAAAAACAAAAAAAAAAAAAAAAACCAAAAAAAAAAACACACGAACAACACAAATATACAGTTTCTTCATGGATATGTCCTCTCCAGGTCATCCAGCTCATCAGGAGAGAGATTAATAGATTTCTCTTCAAATCAAACGGGATTTGTCCCTGCCACGCTCTCCACAGGCAGCTTGGCTCCCTTTCTCCCCAAACTGCTCCTCAATTGTCATAAACCTGCCACACTTCTGGATAAAATAACAGCACCTCCTTCCCACTGCATTTATGGGTAATGAGGCAGGGATCTTGACCGGTGCTCAGAGAGGCTGCTGCCACAAAGGCTGCAGCACAAGGGCTGATGTTACTCCTGTCCTCCCACTGCCAAGCTATTTCGAGTGGCATTTATAAAGCTCTAATTGCTTTCTGAATACAGAACTGGTTTAAAACACATGTAAAAGATTCAAGCAGATAAACTTCGGGGAATGGGGACTGACAAGTTGGAACAAACAAGAGGAATTTTTGATATTAGTTCTGAGATAATCCCGGATTTTTCCAAGGATGTTCTGGATCGGTAACTAACTTGCAAAATCAGACAAAACAGAGAACAGCCAAAAGGCTTTGCAGCTCCTCATCAGCAGGAAAATTACTACAAAATGCAGACAAAGTTGAAGAGTCAAAGATGTCTATTTCAATGCTGAGCTGACACATGTGAGAGAGAGAGAAGTGAGTGAAAACACTAGGAAATCCAGAGGCAGTCACGCTGCTGACRACAGAAGATGCTTTTTGCTTGGGACCCTTCTTTCACAGATCTGAGTTCTTCTGTTCTCAACAGAGGAATAAAGACAGACCAAAACCCGGCTCCAGCTGGCTGTGCCCATGGCCGAGGGCCTCTCCCAGCGCTGAGAGGAAACTTTTCTTTACCAGAGAAGCTCTTTGAGCCCGACAACAAAGAAAACAAGGCAATTCACAGCGCGCTTGCAGGGTGCACCTCCTACTATCTTACAAGTAGTAGTCTGTATCTTACAGAAAATATGAGAGAATTACAAGGCAAAATGATCTTCACTGATGATGTATGAATGGCTATCTTTGGGATTTCATTACATCGTTTTATCTTGCATAGGTTTTCAGGTCTAGACATCTTTTTTAAGCTTTTCTTTTCACTTTTTTTCCCCCTTTCTTTATATTCTGCTCTAACTTACAGACTTAATGAAATATTTTTTCAGAGCATTTACTATCTACATGTGCAATGTGCATCTTAGAACATGCAATTACATTAATCCATAAAATGTATGTGGGGAGGAAATAACTTTGCACCTTGTTTAGCAGTATTTCCTGTAAAAGTGATGTTTCAGTCATAATGCAGTGCTCAAAGCTTTAGCATATAGCAGGATAATAATAATTTAAGGATTGGGGCTGTACCACTTGGAATTTATGCCACTCTTCTTTTACAAGATAGCCTCGTGACTCKCTGTTGAAGTATGATGACATTTAAAATAGGACGTTCACACATTTGTATTGCCTGAGATCTATTCCCATGCAAGAGAAACGCTCCAACATCAGCCATAACGAATCCAATGACCTCCCATCAACAGAATTTACTGTGTCCTTGGGATGCTACGTAAATCAGGTGCCAATGCATTGCCAAAGTCTTACTAAGTGCTTAAAAGCTTTGCCTTGATGGGAGCAACAGAATTAAATTTAGAACRTTTCTGGATACAAATGTCCAGACCCAAAAACATACCCATCACCAACCTCGTTCATGCTCATACTCTTATTCTTACTTGCTCATGCAAAATACAATTCCAGACTCTGATGTTATTTAATGAAAATATAAATACTTCCTCACCTTTCCAAACATCAAATATTATCAAATATTATTTCAGTTATGAAAAAAAATCAAGTTCTTTTCAAATTCCTTCAGTTATGCTGGGGAAAATATTTATGAACATCAGTTTTCACCGAACCAGGTTAAATTCCTTAACTTTCTGCTATAATCAAGACACGTTCAGCCTGCTGCTCCCTCGTTCCACACGCAACTCTTGGGCAGTCCCGGCAGCCGAGGCGGCTGGGGTCCCTTCCTCGAGCTCCTACTGGCACTGGCGGGTTAGGTTGCCCGGCTCCGCTTGCCATTTTTGACAGAAATGCTGTCAAAATGATGTCCAGACTAAATGCTGGATCTGAATCCTGGGTCACGGAGCTGCTGGTCCCTCCACTGAGTGCAGAGGGAGCACAGAGACTGGCGGGTTCCCGGTTCGAGCTGGGCACTGCCCCCTCACTGCCCTGCAGTTACTGACACGACAAGCTGCTGTGAGGGCTGGACCACGGCAGTGGGCACCACTGGGCCACGGGCACACCGAGAAACCCATCGAACGCCTCTGGGGCCCTTTGGGGGATACTTCTTGATGAACTGGCTTTGCTGTCGCTGTTTATACACTTATACTTACACAATATCGTAAGAAATTCTTCCACTGCCCTCGAGTCCTTTCGCGCTGGATTGTGCTAAAGATGCACGTTAAACTGTTTCTCTCCGTGCATAAAGGAGAGCCGTGTCCAGCACGCGAGGCTCAATGCAGCACAGGGGCCTGACGAGCGCGCTGCTGTCAGCAGCTCTCAGCAACGCGAGTGATCAGACCGCATCCCTAGTCCTCTTGCTCCCCCATCCCATCCCAACAGCTCTACGTGCATCCAAATGGATACTGAAACACATTCAGGATGCTCAAAAAGAAAACAACTGGAGAGCAAGTGAAGTTGTAACAGTCTTSTCAGAATGAAAGAACACAAAGGAAAGTCTATGCACATATTTTAGAATATAGTTTTAAGGGAGATATGCTAGAGATTTAAACTAATTACTTCTACAGACAAAGAATTTCATCAAAGCAACATTGCTTTCGGAATAAAGTCAGAATAATGTAGAAGCACCACACAAATTACTGTGCTGTGAACATGGTATTCACTTTCAAAACGTATGCATCTGAAATATGAAATGCTGTGCATCTACTAAGAAAATAAATTTAACTTACACACTTCAGAAGAAGACGGGAAACGAATATTTGATGTATTTAAAGTGGTTTGAAAATGAAACTAAGGTAGTGATTTACCTTCTTTTGTTTCCTTTCAAACATTCCAAACGACACCTCATAACTTCTATCACACGCTGCTCTGGGCCTTCATCAAGGTTTTTCGTTACACTCCTGCTGCGTGAGTTCAATATGTACCTTTTTAACTCTTTTTCCCCCTATTCATAAGCTTTGCAACTGTTTGATTTTGCAAGCACCTTTTAAAGTATGCTTTTCCACGAACAGTGTCTGCAGCGCAGATGAAAACGAGGAGCTGGGCCATACCGACATAGGGCAYGCTCTGTGCGCCCACTCTTCACACACCACAGGGACGGAACACGATGCCTGTCACACACTGCTACGTACACGAGTTGCTAAAACCGTGGATTTTTACCCAAAGAGGTTGGGCGGAAGAGGAGATTCAAGCTGCCCTCCCTTTCCCAAAGCCTGAGAGGCGCCAGGCAAAATGCCCCTGCCCAGCTTCTCTCGGAGCCCTGCTGCTCCTGCTCCTCATGCGAGGGCAGCGGGAAGAGCTCCCTGCAAACCAGCCTCTTCGGGAACTCCAGGCCAACCCGCACTCCCGGGGGGATGAACGGAGAGAGGCGCAGCTCCAGAAGCATCTCCCCCTGGAAGCCCGGGGAGACACGAGGCGGCGGCGGCGCCGCCATGGGCAGCGC